TACAGTTTATAATTCAACTTTTAACATAACTATTAATTTCAAAAGGAAATATTTAAATAAGTCCTTAATCTTTACTTCTCAACATCATGTGACATTTCTTTGCTCCGAACTGCCCATTTTTAATTTTCTTTCTACTCCTCTATGATCTTCTGAGTTTGATACAAATTACACACTCACAGTATGAATATTTTTAAGCCATAATGTAAAATTATAGCTTCCAATCTTCTTAGTTTACTGAGATGTATGCAAGAATTTCCAACCATACGCCAAGCCTCCCTATCAGATCCTATCTTTCAAAAAATGTCAATAATTCTCACTGACATTTACTATTGGATAATTTACAACCAACAGAAAAAGAATATCTTACTTTACTGAATTCCATACAAGGTTAGCTTATTCTCATGAAAATTTTTGAAGTATTCAGCCTATAATTTCATTGTTGCTATCGCCATGATCATTTCAACCAGATAAAGGAATTATTTTAACAAACTTATAGCTTAGATAGAAAGCAAGTTAAATTCTAGTAGTTTTAAAACATTGTATTTTTCTGTATGTGTTAATGGTTTGTGTTCTTAAATGCATATTTGAAATAAATAAAAATTATTTTATGTACTGCTACCATTGTTACAGAAGAGCAGGGTTAAGTTCCTTTGGACCCAAGAGCAAAAACATAAAAGCCTACATGTTAATAAAATGTAAAAATTAGAAACTTATTAATTTAGATAAGAAAACTTAAATGAAATGAAAAGAAATTAAACAAACTATTCATGATAACACAGTACATGAAATGTGTGATTGTGTAATTTGAAAAGCATGCTGGTAACTCGATCATTTGTTTGCCCAAAGCTTTTCCATTGTAATAATAGATTTTGCTATACTCTGATAGGGTCTAAAGTACAGTTGTAAAGCAATAAAATAAATAAATGTCAATTTTGGTAAGTATTGTTGCGTCTGCGAGTCACATGACTAGTGTGACGCCACGTTTCTAGAACTATCCCGTACCTTGGCGAATGCTCTAGTAATTTACTAGATATAGGGTAGTCTGGTATATAAAAGAGGGTGACAACGTGACGAGAGAATAATGTAATGTGTGTGTGTAGGTAGTGAGTAATTGAACTGCAGTCACAGGGTATTGTTGAAGTTAACGTTCGTTCGTTATAGTGTTTGTTTTAGCGCGAATATTGAAATTAAGTGTATCGTAAACTTCTGTTCGGAAAGAATAAACCAGTTTTATTAAGTAAGGACTTGTGTCGTTAAAGTTTCGTCGGAACGAAGTTACGGAAAGTTAATTAACAAACGGAGACGTAACAAATTGGTGTCAG